TTTGGTAACAACGAGATGCAGTGTGTGTGCGTGTGTGTGAGAGTGCACGAGTGTGATGTGTCACGTGCATACGATAAGTGTGGGTTAGTCTGTGTGTGATCAATACATGTGGCGTGTTGCCTTATCCCCCTGAAAAAGATCCCGGGTGCTTCTTTTAAGTACAACATTGGACCCCCTGCAGGGAGGTGCAGGCTGCTCTCAAATCCCCCCTCACCCTTCTCTTCTGCAGACTGAACAGACCCAACTCCCTCGGCCTCTCCTCGCAGGTCCTGTGCTCCAGCCCCCGAGTCATTTTGGTTGCCCCCCGCTGGCCCCTCTCCAATGCGCCCACGTCCTTTGTGTAGTGGGGGGCCAGAACTGGACACAACACTCCAGATGTGGCCTCCCCAGCGCCGAATAAAGGGGAATAATGACACCTCTGGGTCTGCTGCCCATGCCCCTCCTAATGCCCCCCCCCCCGATATCCCATTCGCCTCCTTGGCTACAAGGGCCCCTGCTGACTCATCTCCAGCTTCTCACCCACGGGACCCCCAGGTCCCTTTCTGCAGAACGGCTGCTTAGCCCGTCGGCCCCCAGCCTGGACCAACGCCCGGGACTCCTGGGATTCTTCCGGCCCAGGGCAGGACTCTCCGGTGGGGTCTGGGCTAGTGTGACTAGGTGGGGGGCTGGTTACCCCAGTGCCCTAGGGCTGTGGTGGGCGTTCACTGGCTCTGGGTGCTGGGGGTGACCCCACTGTGCCCTGGCCCGTGGGGTCTGGGCTAGTGTGACTAGGTGGGGGGCTGGTTACCCCAGTGCCCTAGGGCTGTGGTGGGCGTTCACTGGCTCTGGGTGCTGGGGGTGACCCCACTGTGCCCTGGCCCCCCATGTCAGTAGACAATAGGCAGGGACCCATGGGGGGGGTCTGAACGCAGGGCTGGCTGGGGAAGGGGCAGTCTTGCTGGGAAATGTGAAGAGAAGAGGAAGCCGAGTGCGGGGGGCTCGGGCCCTGTGGCCCCGAGGCCGCCTGGCCCCTCGCTGGCTGCCCACATGGACCCCGGCCGGGCTGTGCCTCGCAGAACATCGCACCGGCTGGCGGGTCTCCTCTCGCCGCAGC